GCCGCCAAGGGCCCCCGCGGCCAGCCCCAGCCCCTGCTCCCCGGCCACGTCCTGCAGCGCCACTGCGAAGCGGCCCCGGCCGCGGCCGGCCCCGGCTGCGCCCTGCTGCCCGACAAGAGCCTGGGCGGCGCCAAGGGCAAGGAGCCCGTGGTGTACCCCTGGATGAAGAAGATCCATGTGAGCACGGGTGAGTCCCGGGGAGGCCGGGCCGGGCAGGGCCGATCCCCACTTGCCAGCCCCAGGCGAGACGCCCTTTGTAGCCGGGGCCCTTTAGGCAAAGATTTACGAGCCGCCCGGCTGCTCGGGCAGCAATTAGAGCCCCCATAAATTGAGGCGCCCTGGCAGCGGCTCTGGGCCGCGCGGCTTTGAAGCTGTTCTCTCGCCCAAATGCCCATCAGCATTTTTTATTGCTCCTCGATTGTTTCCTATTGTCAACAGCCCGTGAAAAGGGTTTTGCTCCCTTCCCCCCCACCCCTCCCCTCCTTTCGCAGTTCTGGATCTGATTGGAGCCGGGTGTGGAGTTATGCTGTAATGATTCTGTTCCCTTGCTTTCTTGCGCCCAGTCAATCCCAATTACACCGGAGGGGAGCCCAAAAGGTCTCGCACTGCCTACACCAGGCAGCAGGTCCTGGAGCTGGAGAAGGAGTTCCACTTTAACCGGTACCTGACCAGGAGGCGACGCATTGAGATCGCGCACACGCTCTGCCTCTCCGAGCGCCAGGTCAAGATCTGGTTCCAGAACAGGAGGATGAAGTGGAAGAAAGACCACAAACTGCCTAACACCAAGATGCGCTCCTCCAACTCCTCCACCCTTAGTCAGCCATCCAAAGCACAGACAGCGGGCCACCATCAGCTGGATGGCTCCACACCAAACTCCTCAGCGCTATAATTATTTTTGATACATAGAGAGAGAGAGAGAAATATATGTTTGTTTGTGTTTTTTTTCCCCAGCTGCCTATTTTTGTTGCTGGTGGTTGACCATTCGGACCAAACAACTGTGTAAAAAAAAAAAAAAAAAAGAAAAAGAAAGAAAAAGCCCAGAACAAAAAGCCAGAAGAAGGAACGTGCTCTGTACAAGGGCACGTGCTGAAACCAAAACCTGGACAAAATGTCTACATTGTATACAGCTAATGATTCCATTACCGTCATTTTTTTTCTATTTATGGAAATCCTCTGTAGCCTCAGTATTACAGAGGGCTGGAAGTTGTAATGGATTGATTCTGTACCTAAGAAGGACTCTTTTTGTATATATCACTTTTCAAATAAAATGCGGTTAACAAACAAAAATACGAATTTGTGAGACACTTGTGTAAGACAGTGACTTGAATTGTGTTGTTTCGTGGAATGTTCGTGGATTCTCATGTACACACACACACACACACACACACACACACACACGAAAGCAGATCTTATTTCATGGAGGTTTTAAAAGCTCTTATGAAAGCTGTCCCCCTACAGTCTGAGGGGAAATGTTTTGTGTATCGAGAGTAATTTAACTGTTTTTAAGTGTAGCCCCTTGCGGTAGTTGTGATATACTAGTTTCCCCCATATCCCCTGTTGCATTTATTTATATACACACACACACACACACACACACACACATATATATATATTGCTATAAAGGCTGTTGCTATCTTCGTATCTGGCACCCTCTAAATCGTTTGGGTCCGTGTACAATTTGTGGATTTTGGTGTAATGTATATAGTGCCCAATGCTGGTAATAAACAATGTTCTGTACAAAATAATTAAAGGCTTCAAACACAAATTGCTGTAGTTCCGTTTCCTACACTTTCTGCTTTACTGAGATTGCCGCCATGACAGAAAAAAGTAAGAGCTTAGTACGTTTTAACTGAATTGATCTTGTTCATCCTGTTGTGTTTCAAGCTTAGCTGAGCACATGCTTAAGCTGAGTTGCCATGTTGGAACAACAACACAACGAAAGAATCCCAGGGCACTATAAAACAAGGAAAGGTGTTATGTATTGCCTAGGTGAGTTGGTGAGTTGTAGCCTTCAGCAACAACCTCAGAGCTTGTCTATTCATGTATAAACCTTTAGCCATTTCCCCCTCTGTGTACAGAGAAACGGAACTCATACATGGAGCCAATGGACTGATGTGAGCTGTTCTGCTGTAGTAAAGGTACACGGCTAGCCATGATAACAAAGCCATCCATGATAAGTAGCCAGTCATTACTTATTCGTTCATTTGGCATTTATTGTGCCTTTTCAACTGAGTAGCACGTTTTAAGGGAAAATATATGAGTGATGACAGAAGTTTCCTTAGTTTCCTTGGCTGCCTGTGTTTAAGATGCCTATTTTGAAATGCCTGGAGAACGCTTTAAGAACTTAATTAAATTCTGTCCAAGCCAGAGTTTTAATTGATAAATCTTTTCAAAATGTTTATGGAAAAGGTTATTCAGGTGTTTCGCATACAGATGAACCTTTTCACTGTCCTGCATAGTTAAGAAATACGGTATCAGAGAGGCAATCAGTAAGCGGAAATGATTTGTCTAACATTTTAATTCATAAGGATATTCATAAAACTTTCTCAAGAACTGGCTAGGCCCATTGCAACTAAGCAGGAAAACTTGCCAGAGGGTCCTCCCTCCATCGCTGTATTCCTCCTAGAGGAGAATTGAGGGCCAGTGTTTTTTTCTCCACGCTCACACCAGCATATACTAAATTCGAATCAATGATTCTCAAGGGAGTGAGGCCAGCACGAATTGGTTCCAGGATTGCAATATGCCACAGTTCTCTCTGCAAGAAAACACATTATTGTGAGCATCACTGCCTGTCCAAGGATAGGTATCATTTAAATGAAAAATTTAACATGTCATTGGAAGAATATGGTCCAAATCAAAGCTGTGGCGGTTGCACATACATTTAGCAAACAGTGTTGCCTTTAAACTGAACAACAAACAGGCCTGAATAGTATGTTTCCCTTAACATATTGCTGTTTACTAAAGCTTAAATTGTTTACCCATGTCAGATGCCTCATTATATAGGAAACAGAACGGATTTGAAAGTGAGGTTACTACTGCTATCTCCCTCTCTTCCACCCCTGACTCTTTGTTCGCTTTATGGCATAGAATTTCCTCTCCACTTTATTTTAAACAAAATTAGTACAGAATGATGAAAATCCCAGATCAAAAAATTTTAAGAGACCAGAAAAGATACCCTTTATTTCTGAGGATTGTGCTTAAAAATCTATTTTTTCCCATTGTAAAACGAAATGAAATCACGCTGAAAATAGCAATTTTACTGAGAACCATTAATCACCTCCTACAATAAATACTTCTTTGTAATTCAACAGCGGTTCTGAAAGGCATTCTCTTGGAAAAGTCTGTGAAGACGCAAAGGATTTTCCTGGAAAAAATGTGGCCGTGTGTAAAGACACAGCATCCTGGCTGTCTGCTAAAAAAATGTATACTTGCTTGGTGGAGATTCAGTCCCGGACTGCAAAATATCACATGGCAGATGATCATCATTTAAGGTACATTTTCGTTTTTACCCTCCTCCTTTCCCTTTATTTTTAAGCTGCACGGTGGCTGATCTGCGAGTGTGACTCTGATTCTGGTTTGATATATAAGCTCTGTTACAACAACTTGGAAAATTACATCGTCGGATTTAAGCTCTCTCATTGTCCTCCTTTGCTAGGGCAACCCCGAGAGTTCACCGAAAGGACAAATTTTCTATCCCATTAATTGTTTTTTTTAGAGGAGCAGTCTGACCCTGCAAACCCTTGACCTTTAAAGACAGTATTCTTTTTAATCCAGCACTTGGACCTAAATGTCTCGCTGGATTGCTCTCCCCGGGTCCCTCTCGCGCATTGAAGCTGCTCTCACCACAAAGGAGAGCGGCACAAAATGCTGGAGGTGGAAGTTTGTCCATAGTTCACATAAAGGCAAAATCAGGTCCGAGCCACTTGGGTTGTCACCGGCCGAGCCCAGTCGCTAACCCCCGCCCCTCCAGGGAGAAAAATGGTTTTTTTCAAGCCCTCCCCGCCAGATCTGCCCGGTGTTTTATTACTCCAGGAGCTGAGCTGTGAGAGCCTTGCAGTGTGGACTAGCTAGCACCCTTCTGCGCTGGGGGCTCGCCCACTGCTGGGACAGTGCAGGGGCACTGCCCCCCAAGAGCTGCTTTGGAGGTGGGAAATAGGGGCGAAACCCCCGCGGACGGAGGTCTCCACAGGGTTGGCACCAAACTCCCATCTTTTTTGCCCCCCATGATCTCTTCTCCTGCCCCTGCCAGCCTTGTGTCCGGGCCAGAAGGACTGGTTCCTGCCATTGGGGTTCGCTGGGCCAGCGGGAGGGGATCAGGCTCCTCCAGCACCTCCCTTTCAGCAGAATGAAAATATCGAGGAGAGATTGTTCTCTCCTTTCGGCTGCATCCTGTGACAGCCATGACAGCAATCTCCACGAAGAGCAATAAACATGGCGAGCTGGGGGCCCTCTCCACGACTTTTGCAGCACACAGCCTGCGAGGCCTTTAAAAAACACATTCTCCCCTGGTCCTGGGTTTGTGGGGTTTGCTAACCCCATAAGCACCTAACAGGATCTCTACCTTTTGCAGCCAGAGCTGTCCTATGAGGACTCTGATGCCTGCTTGCTCTATCACAACCCATCTAAGGACCACAGAATGGGCAGAACTGGTCTTACTCTCCCCATAGCTTTTGGAAACACAGTGGGACTGGTCCTGACCTCTGTCCTAGTCCTATTGACCTTGCTGGAGTCACTGGTGTCAGCGAGATGGGAATGAGGCCCACTGGTTCAAATTCATCCCTAAGCTGAAGGCCGGGGAGGTAGGTTGAGGGGGCCTTCTCAGCACACTTCCTAAGTACAGATAGGAAAGCTCTTTCATGCTCTCCCATACGAGGTGTAAATGGCAATGTAGAAAAATTATTTCTAGACACGGATAATACCAGACCCGTATTCAGCAACTGTGAGGAGCTGGTTCTTTTGTCACTTTTAAGAGCATCATAGGGGCAAATATAGAGAATACCAGTCTTGCCATCACACTATGGTGTGTAATATTAAGAGTTAGGAGAAGGATGGATTGTAATTATGCATGTTAACACAGTCTACTGCAGACAATAAAAACCCAGATTCAAATGACTAATTTAAAGCTAGGTCTGTGGACCTGCCTGATCTTGCTACAGCAGGACAAGCACGCATTATTAATGTCCAAATGATCTCCCAAGAAACTGGAAAGCTGTCAAAACCAGGCGAGATTATGGGACCTAAATAAGCAAAAGAGAAACCCTGCACTAGTAGATAAAGGTGTTGCGTCTGTTCTTGTGTAGATATTGAAATTTTAATCCTTGGGGGTCACGTGACTCATTAAATAATTAATGCAGATAGTCAGCAATGGATCTGTGGCCGTCAGTTCTCACTAGGAGTGATTCTCTCAGAAGTGAAACTCAACTTCCTTTTATTTGAGTTTAAAAAACTGATTTATCTTGAAAGATTCTAGACTCCCTAAGAAAGCAGTAGGGACTGTGTTGGTGAGTATGTAGTGTGCCTTTCTAGCTTGATTGCTTTAATTGTTTGTGCTTGCTTTGTGGAGGGCTGCCGCGCATTTACTTAGCAAGTTTAATATTTAGAAATGTTAAATCTTTGTTTTAGCTGCCTTGTGGTCACATTATGGCTGTTTGTGATTAAGTGTTGCCCAGGCAAACACATTCGATAATGTTCTAATTCACACTGTGGAAGGCTGGATACCACAGTGAAGGAGCACTGCTTTGTTCAATTTTCCTGGCGCTAATAAATCACTGGCTCCTAATGCAGGGCCAAAAAAGCAATGGAAAGGCAGCGAGCATTGTAAAAGGAAAGTCACGGGCAAATTTCTCTCTGACTCATTAGTCTGAACGATTTATGTACGAAGTTAAAGTGCCGCAATGAATATTAGAGTTTGGGATAACAACAAATTAAAAAAAAAGTCATAGCGTTAGTAAAGTGCTTTATTGCTACTTAGCAACTCTTTCAAGAAGAAGTATAGTTGTGGACTGTGGCAGAATAAAATAGCCTGGCGTGGCTTAATAGTTCCAAAATAAATAGCCAAAAGTCGTTGGCACCATTTTGAGATACACATTCCATCTTTAAGGGGAGAAGGGGATCCAATCGAGACGGGCGGATCAATTCTTTATTGCAGTTTGTCACGGGGCAGTTGGTTAGGAGTGAGCTGTAGGACGGGGTTCCCTCTCTGGCCCCTGGATTTCGGGGAATGGGATGAAAAGCAGAGCTAAGAGTAACAGCGCCCAGCCCTGGAGATCACTCTCCAGCGAATGGCACTTCCCACGTTCTGATCGTGCGGGAGTGGATTTTAGCAGTCAGCGCAGGAAATTTATGAGAAGGCAATAAACAGCCTAGTAAGCGATTATTGCATTACTTTATGTCGACTGCAGTTCAACACAAAATTTAAAATTATTATAGTAATTATGGAACGGCTAACGTCCTTTCTCGAAAACCTCTCCCAAGGCAGGCTTAATGTTTGCCAAGGCTCAGATGACATCCTTCCAAGAAACTGCGTTATTTAATTATTAGCGTTTACCTTTACTGAGACTTAGGTCGCACTAGGTGGGATCATATCAAGAAGAATGAGTGCAGGAGGTATACGGTAATATGCGAGAAATACTATGTAAATGTGATGCAATACAAATATTTAAGGAATATCTGAGCAGGGAGGTTTCAGGACGGAGAAGCTTATTAGCTCAAAAAATAAAATAAAACAAAATAAAAAATTAAAAAAACCCCCAAACCCTAGCGTGGAAGTGCTCACTGCTCTAGATTTTTCATCTCCCAGAATAGCTTTCAGCAAAGAGTTGGAGGGCCCTTCACTCCCATCGAAGTCAATTGTAAGCTTTTCATTGAATTCAATGGGAACAGGCTCGGGCCCGAATTCTTAAGTGTTTGAACAGAAATTGCTACTATAATACGTCCTACATTAAAAATTGTTTTATTCAACAAAAATGAATACCACTTGTTGTGTTTAATGTCTGTCCTTGATTAAATGATCCTAAACAAAGGTTTCCCAGAGGAAAATAGAGCATACATTCATGTAAGGAGAGTTTGAAATGACAAGATTTCCAAACACTTGGAGACAGAAAGCATAGCTGTCTGCGAAGAACGGCATGCTTTTGTTTCTCAGATATTTCTCAGTGCTCTTTACTGTTGTAGCAAATAACATTTTACATGTTACAGTGATCAATGGAGTCCCTTTAGTTACTCTCTGCACTTCCACGGTTGCAGCCTTTCAAAAGTCTTAAGCAAACCAAGCACTGTCTTTAGAGTGGACAAACAGCTTCCTTTACCATTCTCATGTAGGTATTGCTTGTTGCGTGTTTACAGAAGTCCTGGGCACCGAAAAAGACGATCCCCTGAATGATAGAAGCTGGGAACAATTTAGTCCACGGTCTGAAATTGTGGGAGGTAAGAACGATAATCTACTTGCGGATACTTTCTGGGAGATTTAATTTACCCATAGGCGAGAAGTCATTTGCTTAGCGCTTGCATAGAGAAAGAACCTGTTAGAATGAGATTCTGCTGTGATAAATATTTAACCTAGTTGGAATTTTCTGGATTCAGTCGATTTATCTTCTAGGACTGGTGAATGCGTGTGTCCGGACAGACAAAGAAATATAGGAACCCCTAGTAATAGCCAGCCTTCTAAAGGCATTGGGGACAGGAAGGGTGAAAAGTAATTGAAAGAGGTTGATCATTTCTTTGGCCATTCTTGGTTTCCAAATCAAAGTCTCAGAGCAAGAGATGGGTAGTTGGAGCAATTATAATGCTGGGTTGCTTCCGTGGCTTGCTGTTTTGGTTCACTTGAGTAGTTTTGTAGTGACTCCTGTGTGAGTCACTCATTTGCTCTTATTTTAGAAAACCTGGCTTTTGTTTGACTATATGTGCACCAGAATGGATCCGAAATAAGTTTCAGGTATTTTATATATCCTGGCCTTTTCTGAATTCAGTTGCGTCTAAGTTAGTTTCATGATTCAGTTGTTAGAATCATTATTGGAAGGGGTATGTATGAATGTATGTATGGGTGTGTGTGTACGTGTGTGTATGCGTGGCTGTAATAGAAATGTAATGCTTTTCAAAGTGATAGTGTTCTTTGTCAATGAAAGGAGAGAGAGGGTTATACGGTTATTTCAAATTCCTGCTTATTTTGGGATGCTGATGTACAATTACTGTGGTTTACTACCTTTTAAAAGCAGTCATAAATTACAGGGCTACAAGGGCTTGTTGTGTTGATTTAATAGGCTGCTGAAACCTTTCTTACGAGGAAACACTGAAAATGTCTGTTCATTCTCATTTTATGGGGGGGAAAGAATAAGCATTTTCAAGCGTGATTCACATACCTATAACATTTGTCCGGAAATATTTTCAGATTCTGAATATTAATCCAATATTCACGAGGTCCAATCAGACTCGGTAAAGTTGTCTTTAAATAGCTTCTTTCGATTTTTAGAGATTTTTTTTTATCTGATTCAAAATGATCAAAATCGAATGGAGCCAACTTCATCCATATCCAGTGCATGGTTGTAAGTAAATAGTTTTACACCCGTACGATTATCAAGTGTTCCAGGCAAAGAGGAAATACTAAAACATCTCTATGAACTAGTGTTTCCAACTCCACCTTCCCCTGAAGTGCTAGCCTTACCTTTAAACTAATTAAATAAGCATGAACATGAAAGAGAGGGAGCAAAAGTATTTCGGAATCTATTTACATCAGAGGTGTAGGGTTACTTACAATGCTAATATTTGAAATCAAATCTATCACGAAGAGGCTCACTTCATTCACACAGATTAAAACTTCGCTTTTGCAGTTATCGCTGCTTGGAGTTTCAGCTTAAAGCCACGTGAAAAAAGAAAGAGTATCAACCTTCCGAGAAACTGCATAGTTTCAGCTTTTAAAAAAATTAAAAAAGGAAAGTTTTCAGGTCTGCAGGTGGTAGAGCTAGTAAAACATAATGTTGAATCTCCAGGAACGTTGTATTCTATTGGCTGGTGATGCTTTCAAATCCCTTTGAATTTCTGTTTGAAAACTCGTAATCATGATACTTGACCAAAGAAAATGAATTCCAGAACCGATGAAAGGGAATCATTTTCAGCTGCGATCCAAGACCCTGTAAAGTTTGAAAGACTTTCTTTCCGTTCTTCTAACGCACACCCTAAAGAAGGAATTCATATATCAAGAAGTTATTTTTCCTAGGAATTAATTAATTTCTCCACTGCATACACTAAGTTAATTGTTAAACAGTAGTTTTAGCATTAACTTGATCATTAATACTAATAAAGATGTTCATAGAAATAGTTTTTTTAAACCAATGGCCAGAGCTAGCGTTAAGGCATTTAAGCTGAAGCTGA